ATTAGATAGTTGGATGGAGATGATAGAGATAGACAGATAGATAGATGGATAGATGTAATTAGATAGTTGGATGGATGGAGAGAGAGAATTGATAGATAAGATGGATAGATAGATGGATGGGTGGGTGGAGAGAGAGAGAGAGAGAGAGAGAGAGAGAGAGAGAGAGAGAGAGAGAGAGAGAGAGAGACTTCAGGATAGGTGGACTTCTCTGCCAGCTGGGGAATTCTGGGAGTTGAAGTCCACTGATCTCGATGTTGCCAAGGTTGGGAAACACTGCACTTGATGTGTGAAATTACAACTTTTCAAATTCTTCAATTAGAGGCCCTGTTGACTGGGAGATTCTGAGACGTGTAACGTGAACACCTATGAATAGTATAAGGTTGGGGACAGCCCCACTATACCAGGTCTTAAAAAAGCAATTTTCATTGAAAGCTTTTTAAAAAGCCCAGCTAACTGAAATAAAAAGAGAATGTGGACACGGTGAAGAGGGTCTCACAGCCACACTGACATTTCAGCCGCTGTGAGGCTGCTCCTAATTGCAAAGAGGCCCATCGTTAGAAGCCCCCACCCCACCCCCGAACGGCTGAGCCGCAGGGCGTTAAACTCCACTTACCAACGCTGGTAAAGTGTTTGTCTTCCCTGTCAGTGAATCTTTTTCCGTAAACTGGAGTTCATCCAGAGGCAAGACCGGCATGTTTCCGGGCTCTTTTCGTCTGAAAAGACACATACACACACACGCAAGGGTCACATCAGGAAGCGCTTCAGGAATTCACAGCCTAAAACCCATGTTGATCCTGGTACAGTCGCCACATCTAGAAGTCTCCCAACTGTTTTTTGTACAAGAACGTGAGAGAAAGATAAAATTCTCAAGGATTTTTGGCACAAAGCTGGCAGAGCAGAAGGTCAACCATCACAGCAGAATAGAGGATAGTATAGTATAGTAATATAGTAATCTCTCTCTCTCTCCCTCTCTCCTTCCCACCCTTCTCTCTCCCTCCCTCCTTCCTCTCTCCTTCCCTTCTCTCTCCCTCCCTCCTCCCTCCCCCTCTCTTCTCTCTCCTTTCCTCCCCTCTCTCTCCCTGTCTCCCCCTGTCTCCCCCCTCTCTCTCCTTCCCTCCCCCTTCTCTCTTCCTCCCCCTCTCTCTCCCTCCCTCTCTCTAGAGTGGGCGGGATCTTAATTAGGACTTATTTTGGGCACACATGTAAAAAAATCAAGCTAGGACTTACTTTCAGGGTAGGTCGTATTTTCGGGGAAACAGCGGGGAGAGAGAGAGAGAGAGAAAGAAAGAGAAAGAGAGAGAGTAGAATAGCAACCTTGGAAGTTTGAAGATGTGTAGACTTCACCTTCCAGAATTCTCCAGCCAGCATAGAATTCTCAATTTGGGGGGGGGGGGGCACGAAGCTTAAAGAGCAGAATAGCATCACAGTAGAACAGAGCAGAGCAGAATCTGGCTGGCTCGGCCTCAGAGGAAAATGGGTACCATAGTCTCTGCCTTCGTTCATGGGAACTGTAGTCCAGCACTAATAGAGAAGCCCTCCTCGCCCTCCTCTAAAGTCCAGAATTTCATAATTGGCTCCCCTCCCCAGAAAGGCAGAGCCAGTAAACCAGGTCACCTCTCCAAAAACTGTCCTCTACACAACAACCCCGCAAGATGGACCAAGGAAGGGCCAGCTGGCATTCTCCCCCCCTCTTTAGCCCTGCCCGGACCACGCCCTCTCCCGCAGCCAACCAATCCCCTTCCTGAGCCGTGACGTCACCGCGCACCGGCCGGGCAGCTGAGCCACGTCGCGTCACAGCAGGCCCCGCCCTACATCCGGGTCTTCTTGCCTCCCAGCCTCGTTTACTTATTCCAGGCCGAGTCCGGAGTCATGGAAGCCGAGGGAGAGGCGGGCCGTGCCACCGAGGCCCTCCGGAGCCCTGTAGTTTTTTTCCGCCGGTTCTTTTTCTTCCCGCTGGGCCACTCAAGAAATACCCCCGCAATTACCTGACACCGCCTCGGTGATAGCGTCCTGTAGGCCTCTCACTTCCGGTGCTGGGGACAGCACTTCCGGGTCGAGAAGGTCGTCAGTCCGCTCCGAGGCGCCTCCGGTTGCTTAGTTACGGGGGAGCTTGTTTGGGGGCCTATTTTATGAGTTATAGTTATTTGTCCTTTTTTATTAATTTTAACAATATTTATATTAGTATTTATATTATTAATATTAATATTTATTATATTTATATTTATTATTATTACTATATTACTGAAATGGTATAGGTTCTCCTGCTTGAACAGGGGGCTGGACTAGAAGACCTTTAAAGTCCCTTCCAGCTCTATTTTATTCCAAAAATATTCTACTTTATTCAGTCATCATTATTATTAGTGGCCAGGGCTACGGTTCTTCCTAGCCCTTTTTCCTGGCAGGGTGGGGGAAGAAGGGAGGCTGGGACTACAAGACCCATTGTTCCCAGACCTTCCTAAGTTGATGAATTAATCCTCTTTTCTTACTTTGGCACATCAAATTAAAAGGTAAAAATTCTTTAAACAGAATTTAAAGGTAAAAGAAGACAAAGCTATGTTTTTTCCCTTTTTAATTAAAGGAATAATAATTAAGAGGGCAATAGACATATAAGAATACCAATGAGATCCCAGGAGTTTATATCAAACCTCTATTCTTTAAAGTTATATCTATATGAAATGCATTTTTACATACATCATTTCATAATATATAATAATTACAATATTTTATATAGTAATTAATTACAATATTGTAATTAATTACAATATTTTATATTGCAATATTTTATATTTACAATATGTTGCATATTGTGTGTACATTTTATATGGACAGATAGATTGATCTCCATACAATATCCATGTATGTAAATATACAAATACATGCACATACAGGATTACTAATTATAAAATGAATAGCATTCTCCATTACTTGAGCTGCGTCAGATGATCTTTCCAAATAATCTCTTCCTTTATAAGTAGGCAAAACAATGAGATAAAAAAACAAAGTTTACAGAGAGAAAACAATTGTTTCTGTCTCCCATATTTAAAATACACTTTACATTTGTGACTAAGAATCCCCAAACCAGAAAGGCAGGTTCACTCATTTCAACACTTTATTTATCTTTGGGCAGCATCAAGAGTAAATTCCCCACAGGAATTGTACATGTTGGAGTTTTATGCATCCTGTCCTTTAAGAACAACTCTGCCTAAACTTGCTTACTCTGCTGCTTCGTTTTTGTTTAATTCAAGCTGCTTGCTAGTCACTTCTAATTACAATTTCCCCATTCCAATATCCCATCTAATTATCTCAATAAGTCATATGGATACCAATGTGGAGATGGCTGATTTAATTTTCAATTTCAAGTAATCCTCTAGTTCTGAAGCTCCATATTCTCCAAGTTAAGTTATATACAATGTAAGAACAAAGTTTGCTGGATGGATTTTAAAATAATGAAAAAATTAAAGCTAATCCACCACAATATGCTTAAACTAGTCTTAATCCTAAAGTTGCAAATCTAGTGACTGCCTTACTACTGGTACACACTCATTAACTTTTAACATATTAATTTTTCTGAGATGTGCAAATCCATCTCACTTGGCTATTTTATGATACAGTGTAATGTGTGAGAGTTTGAAACTTAATTTAACCAAGTTAAGTGTTATGTGTAAATTCTAATTCTGTCTCACATTAATAGAGAAAAATAGAGAAAAAAGGTAATTAATAGTACACAAAAATATAGTTTTATTACTTCAGCATGGAGTAGGCTATCGCTGAATGCAAAACTGTAACATTTATTATGCTATGAATAATCAAAAAGATGAGTATTTCTGCTCCTCTGAAGATGTGTTGGTAGAGGAGATTATGTTGAGAGTTAAACAGTATATTAGAAAAAATACGTTCTCTGCCTAAGAATCTTAAGAGCAATTTATTTCATCCTACATCCACTTTTCAAATTTCCCCTATCCTTAATTTACACTTAAAAATCCTTAGTTTCAGAACATGCCTATTCCAAAAGGCATTTCTTACCATTTTCATTGACTCAATTTTAATCAAAATCAGTTTGCAGTTGACATATTATTATCACTTCTATTATCAGATAATACTGACCCTTGACTTTCTGTTGCTTTATTATTTTTCATGTTCCTAAAAGGCTGCCCTCTCAGAACTTCCTAACTTCAGCAGGATGTCTGGAATCCCAAAATGGTGAGGATAGTTTGAACGTTGAGGGTGTGTGAAGTGTTGAAAAAAAATTGAGAACTAAGGGCGCATTGCCTTTTTGTGTATGTGTGTGTGTGTGTGAAAAGCAGACCACAACCATTCTCTCTCATCATTCTGTGCTCTGTGGCCCTCAAACTTCGGGGCATCAGGGACCAGTTCTGTGAGGGAGGTTTTTCCCTGGATTTGAGGGGGTCTGGTTTTGTTTGATGCCTGCATCCCTAGGATGGGACTTTTCTTGTTTGCATGGACCAGTTTCTGGCATGCTGTGCGGCCCAATGCCAGTTCCACAGACTGAGGGATTGGAGACCCCTGCTCTAAGACCAACATGGTGGAACGGGGGTCTCCTTAATCCATATCAACTTTCCTGATCTCTCCATATGAAGTTCACAACCTGTAGACTGATAATGCTCATCTATTCGATAGCGTTGCTTTTCCATAAGGCGTGCAACTCCTGGTTGGAATTTTAAATGCAGTTGCTTAATCGCACAGGCCCACAAAGACTTGCCAACCATTCTAGATCTCTGCCTAGCTATTCATGAAGGCACGCACATGCAGTTTGATATGTATGTTGCCAGGCCTGATCTTACCATGAGATTGGATGCCACCTCAAAGGATGCAGCTACAGGATGCAGCAACAACTTCCCACTGTCCCTTATAAATCTTAGAATTAGCTTGTGTTTTGCCACCAGTGCAGGTGAGACAGATGTGGTCAAAGGAGACAAATGCAACTTCCTCAATTAACAAGAGATAAATTTCCATGATGGCAACAAACCAGTCTAGGAGCTGGAATGTCCGGGCGCCACCGTTCTCCAATCCCAAAGCAAACTGAATCCTTATTTGCAAATGGAATTGATAGAAAAACTCCCATTCCTATCCACAGAGAAAGTATCATCATCGTTGTTGTTGTTGTTGTTGTTGTTGTTATTATTATTATTATTATTATTATTATTATTATTATTATTATTATTATGAAATACTAAATGATTTGAACCCCAGTGTGGCTAGCTTGCCCCAAGAAATGGCACAGAACCATTGTATAATTGTTCCAAAGGAACTCTTAACCCAATATTTGGAAGAAAACGTTGATGCATCTCATATTTGGGCATGAAGGAGACTTGGCTAGAATTTTAATAGAGTTTAAAGAAATGAACTATAGGCAACAGTGCAATTGATATCAAATCTCTTCTTGAAGAGAGATAGGTTTTGGGAAGTTTTTGGGCACGACAAATGGCAACGCTTGCGTCGTTAGTCACGGTCTGCCAGTGAATGCTTCGGATAATGCCTCGGGTGGGCAGGCTTTGACAGATGTACGCCACTAATCTTGGCTCTGTTTTAAGTGTTGGGAGAAACTTCCTGACACAGCCGGTAACAGGGTACAAAGTGGCATTTTCCTTTCAAAGACAAGAGCAGAAACCCAGGACGGCAGATTTAAAGCCGGCATTTTACTCATGCTGATCCGCTAACGAAGAAAATCCCCCCCAAACATTCAAACTTTCTAGGCCGTTTCAAGTGTCGGAAGAGTCTGCAAGGCTCATTTCCCTAATCTTAAGATATAAATCTTATTTTATGTCCATGCAGAAAAGATGCGCACTCTCTCTCTCTCTCTCTCCCTCTCTCCCTCCCTCTCTCTCTCTCCCCTTCTCTCCTCTGTTTCGGCCAACCTTGGCTGCGGTCAGATGACCTCTGTTCCTGAATGCACAGTAGCCACCATCCCCTTGGCTCGCTTCTCCTGTTCCTCTTACTTTTATTTTCAAGGGAAATGACAAAGAAACGCTGGCAGAATGAAGGGTTGTGAGTCATTGTGAGGCTTTGTCTCTTTTTTTTTCTTTCCTTTTTTCTTTTCCACAAAGTAGGTCGAGGAACCTGGAAAGCATAAACAAGTCAAACTGTACATTCACTGGCAAGTTAGGTTACAAAACAGCACATTCAACAACGGAGGGGGGACAAATTCCATGGAATCACAGAAGCTTTTCCATGGCTAGCTGGGCTTTTGCCAGCTGGGGTGGGGGAGTCCCAGAGGGAAACCATTGGCCAAAGGCAAAGGTTGTTTTTGTTACTTTTCCAGTGAACCCCCCCCCCCAAGGGGAAGGAAATTAACAATGCTGCAGCTTTAGGGCTGCATAGTTTCTTGGTCCTTTTTCATTACACAGGTATGGGGGGTGGGGGTGGGGGTTGCCTTCTCTGGCATTCCCCTGGCTTTGCAATAAGACTGTACCAGTGATGAAAGTTGTGTATGGATGTTTATGGGTGTGTATGAATAGGTACAAAAGACAGAGATAGTAGGGAATATCCTGTGTAGCGGGAAGCGGGTCCCCTATTCGAAGGGCTGTCACAAAGAAAATGGGTGTGTGTGTGTGTCAAGCTATTTTCCAAAGCACCAGAAGGCAGGAGAAGAAACAATGGATGGAAACTAATCAAGGAGAGAAGCAACCTGGAATTAAGGAGAAACTTCCTAAGAGTGAGGACAATTAACCAGTGGAACAGCTTGCCACCAGAAGTTGTGCGTGACCTTTATGAGTTGACATTGCACCCGCTCCATCCCTGGAGGATTTTAAGAGGAGATTGTACAACCACTTGACTGAAACAGTATAGGGTTGGACTAGAAGACCTCCAAGGCCCCTTCCAACTCTGTTGTTCTATTGTTCTGGGGATCAATTATACCACTTTGTAATCTACTATGATTCATTTTAATTATAGATAACTGACAGCAGGAAAAGACCTAGTGATCCATGGAGTCTCCCCTTTGAGTATTTTTCTTTTTTCCTTTTAATGAATTATTTTTAATTATTGTCTTTGCGTTTTATTGTTTTTATTTTAGTTTTTGTCAGATTGTGAACATGCTTATTTAAACTCAGTGACTGACAATTGAGCCACTACCTCTGCTGGAAGTTGGTTCCAAGCTTAATTATTCGTGTGTGTAGTGTATATATAAAAATCAGAGGGAACAAAGCACAAAATACAATTTTGTAGTCCAGCACCATGAGTGCTTTGGGGTTAGCACATGAGCCACAGAAGATACTTTAGGAGCAGATGAGGTTCCACTTTAGCTAGCTCAGTAATTTTGCAATGAATATTGGACATATTCTCAGAATCCCAAATGTGCCAACCAGCAGAAAAGTCTGGGAGATTGCAGGTCTTCTTGCACAAAACTTAAAGGCCTTACTTTTAATTTCTGAAAGAGTTCCTTATATTTTTTTCTGACGTGCCAATAGATAACACCACCAGATCCCGCAACTGGAATTTCCTTGCCCTCACAGACAGGATCACTCTTTAATCTCGTTTGGTTTCCTATCAGGCGTGGCCATTATTATCTCTTTGCAGAAATGCTTTTAGCAGAACCAGACTCGGGCCTCCTTTTTTGCTCCTCACGCTGGGCTTTTGAAATCTGTTCTTGCGATAGTTCAAGTCCTCTTGGGCAATCAGGATTGTGCTTTCTTTCCTGTTCTTTCTCTCTCTCTTCAGCCACTTCTAAAGAGTGGTGAAATTTTAAAGAGTTTCCAGGTTGCTTGTTGAATTCAGGGGAGGTGGGCAGGAAGGCTGAAGGAACAGGTTGGCTCCTACCTCAACTGCAGTGCTCTTCCAACAGGAGAGACTTTTTCAGAAGGGACCGGACAACCAGTAGTCCAAAATGGGTCTCCTGTTTTTGCAGAGGGTTGGCCTAGAAGACCTCCAAGGTCCCTTTTGTAGGGTATCTTGGCCGTGCTGCCTTTTTGACTGAGGATACAAATCAGTATTGGGTATATAATTGGTGTTATAAAGCTTATTTCACTGGACTGGATGTTTTGTGTATGTGAATTGCGTATTATGTGAAATGCTGGGCATCCTTTCAGACTGTAAACGGGATTAATAAATAAATCAGGACCCATCATTAACCAGGCAGTCTATTGCACGTATAACAGGTGATAAGTTCCATCTTGCTCTCATGCATATAACTTGGGAGTAAACACCAGCCTTATTTTTTTCAATAAACCTTCAAAGGAAAAACCAACGAGCAATCGAGTTAGGCATTAAATCAAAGAACAGGGACGGGCACTCCGTCAATCCAGGATAAAATGTTAAATGTCATGTCAATTTCAAGTTGAGTTCAAGCATGTCCATGCAGTTTTCTTGGCAATGAGGCAGAAATATTGTCTTCTGGGGTGTGTTTTGGCTCCTCAGTCCTACCCTGGTAATTTTCTGGAGGATTCCCATCAACTTGTAACTAGCTCTGATCCCGTTTAATATCTCATCACCAGAGAGAATCCAGTCAAGGTTGCAATCTGCCGAGATTCAAAATAGGATAGGCATAATTTTAAAAGCCTGGGAGAATAAAATGTTTGGTTAAAAAAAAACCAAAAACCTCACCGATATCCCACAATACAGGATCTATGAGAGCTGAGACAAGCGAGGCAGGAACTAGAAGTCCCCAGAGCAGAAGAACCTCAAGAGGTTATCCGTTCCCAAGATCAGCAAATGAGTCAGTTCAGAAGACAGACAGACAGACCGACAGAAGGGCAGACAGAGGGAGGAAGAAGCCTAGAGTTTAGAACGCAGAATAAGAGGAACAAAGAACATTAGAATAATACAGTTGGAAGGGATCTTGAAGGCCTTCTAGTCCAGCCCCCCGCTGAAGCAGGAGACCTTCTATTATTCCAGACAAAAGGCTGGTCCAGTATCTTCCAGAAGTCTCTGAATTTTGCAGCGCATTGGACAGTCAACTGTCCTGTTTCAGGCTTTGCTCATGCCAGCTCTAAGAATTCTGTTCTAGCTGAGCTGTGTCTGGGAATCTTATCACCTGTAGTCAAGAGCTGAACTAAGAATTAAACGGGTTTGGAAACCTTCACGGCAGTCCCAAGGTGACAGGGCCTGAGCCTGTAAACCGTAGGGGATACAATAAATTTTGCTGGTCAGCGTGGGATCCTTGGTGCTCTCTGAACTTGGTTGCTTTCTTGCGGACGTTTCATTACCAAACTGGGTAACATCATCAGGGCTAGTAAGGGAGTGGGGTTTGCAGGGAGGAGGATTCTTGGTGCTCTCAGAGCTTGGTTACTTTCTTGCAGATGTTTGTTTACCCAAACTGGGTAACATCATCAGCGCTAGTTATCTGCACTGATAACTGGCGCCGATGTTGTTACCCGGTTTGCACGCCGTAACAAACCTCAAGGAAAACTTGGAATAGATGATCACATCACTAACCCTGATGATGTTACCTAGTCAAGGTAGTGAAACATCTGCAAGAAAACCACCTAGCTCAGGGGGCACCAAGGACCTTAAATGACCCCCTAAAAAATTTAAAAAATTTCCTTGACCTACTCATCAGGCACACACACCTTTGCAGTCCTGGTGCACCACTAATTCATGGCCAGGATTTGCATCAAAGAAACCCCTTTCTGGCTTTTAAGACGGCTGTCTGCCTATTGCTGCAAACCTACCTCTCTCTTGGACAAATCTTTCAGCCTTGACCCAGGCCATTTCAGGACTGCTTCAATAAATCAGATTCCTGAAGGGAGATCATTTGTCTGGCTTAGCTGTGAGCTGTCAAGAGCCCGAAAGCAGAGCCAAGAATTCAGCCTGGAAAATATTATTGGTCAGGAAATCCCAGCCAGAAAGTCTTTTTTAACAATCTACCTTTTCCAAGGGGGCACCAATAGCCAGCCTGGATGAGTAGGGTGAGTCCAGCCCAAGGAATCGTTATCAGGGGGGCAGTTCTGATAGCAGATTGAAGGCCTCCATGGCAGTCCTTGATTTTACAACTCTTCGTTTAGTTACCGAAGTTAAAACAGTCCTGAAAAAAAGCGACTTGACTGTTTTGCAAACTTACGACCGACCATTGCAGCGTCCCCACCATTACATGATCAAAATGTGGACGCTTGCCAACTGACTCATATTTACGACGGGTTGCTGCTTCATGTTTATGAAGGTTGAAATGTCTCGTGGCAGAAGTGGTATTCAGGCGGTTCGGACCAGTTCTGGAGAACCGGTAGCGGAAATTTCGAGTAGTTCGGAGAACTGGCCAATACCGCCTCTGACTGGCCCCGCCAACCCCATCTCTTCTGTGCCTCCTGTCCCAGCTGATCAGCTGGGTCTTCTTTGGTTGCCCTGCACAGGAGAATGGAGCTGGAAAGCAGGTTAGTTGCCAGGATTCCAGCCGTTACCCCCAATTAAATCATGAGTCTCGAGCCAAACTTCCAAAACTTCAAAAGGATTTATTGGGAGTTAACATGTACGGCATTGCCAGGGTGTATCGTAATTCATATTCTCCAATGGGACACATCTATAGCCCAGAGTCATCAATCATGCTCTCCAGTGAAGAATTTTGCTGTGGCAGAAACTTCAGTCACCTAGTTACTATCTTTGAAAAACTATTTATAGAATGCACTTTCCGTTTCCAAGCTGCCACACTGCTTCCCCACTCCCTTTCTGTTGGCAACTCAGACCAGAGAAATATTTTACGAGTTGACATTGGTGGGTTGGGGAGGGAATGGGATTTTGCAGTATCTTTCCCCTGCCATGCCCCCCAAGTCATGCCCACCAAACCAAGCCACGCCCACCAAACCGATAGTAAAATTTTTTGAATCCCACCACTGTCTCGGGATCACGCAATTCCCTTTTTGCAACCTTCCAAGAAGCCAAGTCAAGGGGGAAAATAGATTCACTTAATGCCCGCGTTACCGAGGTCAGAACTGCAGGTACCCCTGAAGGCAAGAAAGGTTGGAAAAGGAGGGGAAACTCCCTGAAGAGAAGTTGTTGGAGAAAGACAAACAGGAGGTCACAAAAGGAGATCCTGTGCCCTCAGGATACGGTAAGCATCATAGACACATGCCGGCAGCCAAGCGTCTGAATTTTGAGCACCTGTGGGGATGCTGCAACGGTCGCAAGTATGGAAAAAAGGCCACAGGTCCCTTTTCTCAATGCCGTTCTAACTTGGAACAGTCGCTAAAACAAATGGTTGCAGATGATTCTCCAAAGCACCAGAAGGCAGGAGAAGAAACAATGGATGGAAACTAACCAAGGAGAGAAGCAACCTGGAATTAAGGAGCAACTTCCTAACAGGGAGGACAATTAACCAGTGGAACAGCTTGCCACCAGAAGTTGTAGGCGCTTCATCCCTGGAGGTCTTCAAGAAGAGACCGGACAGTCATTGGTCTGAAACGGCCCAGGGTCTCCTGCTTGGGGTGGGTGAGTTGGACTAGATGACCTCCAAGCCCCCTTCCAGCTCCTATTCTGTTCCAAAATCCGTAAAACTTCATAATGACAGAAGAGATTGCGACTGCAAGCCACGCCCCCCTCCCACCGCGCGCTCCCATTTGCCGGGACGGGGCCAGGCGCGCCCCGCCCACCCGCCGCCGGCCCCGCCCCTTCTCCCGCCCCCGGCGTGTACCCCCGGCCGCCATGTTGTTTGGCTTGTGAGGGAGGCGGAGGCTGGGCGGGCATCGAGAAAGAGCGGCCGCCGCCGCCGCCACGGCCCGCCACGGAGGACCCCGCAGGGGCTGCCCAGCCGCCGACGGGACCGGAGGGCCGCCGTGCCATGGGCAGGAGCCGCCGCCGCCGCTGCCGGGTGAGCTTCTGACGGGCCGGGCCAGGCCTGACGCCGGATGGGGGGGGGGTTGGTTGGTTGGGGAGGCCGCGCGGGCCTTGGTTGGGGTGGGGGGGAATGGGAGGCAGGGAGTGGGGGTCTGGTCGCTCCGGGAGGGAGAAGGATGCTGCTGGGGGCAGAGGGTTTGTGTGTGTTGGGGGGGGTAAGAACTAACGAGGGTGAGCCCAACAAGCCCCTTTTGGCCCATTAAGGGTGATCTTAATCGCCCGGGGGGGGGGGTGAGGGGGGAGGAGGAGGAGGAGGATGGAGGAAGAAGAAGAAGAAGAAGTCTCGTCCATTGATAGAACACAATGATAGAAGACGCTGTAGAGAAGGGAACATAGGAGACAATATGGAGAATAGAATAATATTGTCTTCTATGTTCTAGGATAGAGGAACCGAATATAGAGAATAGAACAAATACAGAAGACTAGTGAATAGAGTATAGAAGACAACATAGGGAACATAGAATAATATTACAGACAATATGGAGAATAGAATAGAATAGAATAG